TTCACTGTGGGCATGGTGGGATTGTCGATGATGTGCAGTGTTGCTTTTGCTTAAAACTAACATTTTTGGAATTATGGAAGTTGTTACAATGTAAGTTTTGGGTTTCTTGTTGTCCCTGAAACGTATATCATTCTCACCGGTAAACAAGCAGACGTCTCCTCACTCTATTTCCTTAAAGAGGCAGCAAAATGTATTTTCTAGAGCCATTATACAACACAATCAAGTAGCTACATTACCTTCAGTTTTTATTAAAATGCTAAATACAGCAAACATATCTTAAAAGAAGTCTGACTTTGACTTGTCTCTTTAAGAAGCTGCTACTCCAGCGGTGTGTCATGATACGGATTCTTCTCTGTTACACCGTTTATGATTGTTATTAGGAGCGCTGGACTGAAAAGTAATTTGTATGATGAGCTCTGTGGAACATCTTCTCGCAGTTCCACTATGCGTTTGTCAATTACTGCTGCCGCTAGTCTGGAGGAGCTGAGCGGGGAAGGGGTGCTCTGTGACTGGCTGGCAAACTGATTGTTGCACGTCTTGATCTGGGCGCTGCCGCATCCCTGATTCGTCCACATTGGTTTATTTAAATAATTTTTTTTTAATCGTCCTTCAATGTGTTACCCTTCAGTACCCAACACGGCGACAGAAAGGTGGGCTACATGCAGATGCCCTCAAAGACCCCACTGGATCTTCTGGAAGTAGATTTAGTGTGTCTGTTAGCACTTTGTTTTAGCTTCCATCACTTTGTTTTTTTCATCATTTCTGGAGAAAAGTTCACCTTTCTCCTGACCTTTGAACTTTATTTTAGATTAATTGGATTCATCGTAATTACTTGACAGCGGTGAACTCAAATAGACTGAAAGTTGTAATTCAATCAAAACATGCTTCAACAAAGCATCGTTCTAAGTGTGTGCATGCTTATTCAACCAAGTTGCGTAAGTGTGACACCTTTTCTATTTTTATCCCCCTTCGTAATGACTGATCAATGTCTCCATTTTACCACAATATCCCATCATATTCACTGATATCTATCAGTTTCTCTGCTCCTTTCTTACTACAGAACTACAGCAGTCATATTTGTCCTACACATATAAAGATGGATTCAGAAACCACAAAATGCTTACGGAGTTATGACGAATAAAAATATATTGAGAGAGCAACTGTTGGAGGTCTTTCGAGGTCTGAATTGGTGTAGGACCAATCATCTGTATTGGTTGAGAAAAAAAAAAAAAAAACTATTCTCCAATGTGCATCAACACGCTATTCAACATTTCAGAACTTCCTAATCACTTTTTATGGAGTAGATGGCCAAAAAAAAAAAAGCTGAATTTGGAGCCTGTGTGACATTCTACCCTTGAAGGCATAGTTCAGCGATTCCCCTTTTGTTCAGATCTTATCTGCACATCCAGACCTTTTAAAAGCTGCATCCCTTGGCCCACACGTCTCTGAGGTAAACCTTCAATTGTTTCCACACGCACATGCTGACAGCTCGTTAATGACAGGTAATAAAAGCTGTGTAAACACATCTGTTGGTGCTGAGTTACCACACAGTAAAAGGGCTTCTTGTCTAGCTGTAAAACTACAGGCCATCGGGCGCAGCACAGCACAGCCATTATCATGTCTGCACCACGGCTCTCGGCACAGTTCTGCCCGGGTTTTAGAAGCTTACAAGTCTCAAAAAAGATACATGGAAATCCTGTATATTACGAAAAGAATACTTCCTCCCGTGTCCACAGATGAGCAAATCTGTGTGAACCACCTGCCTTTGTCTTCTTCTCTTCAACCCCCGAGCTTTCTGCAGTGAACACATGAATGGCCTGAGGAGAAAGGGGATCTCTGTTCTGGATGACCAGTGGTGTTCCAGCTGGTACTGCCACACTCATAAGTGAACAGATGGCATATCATTAGTCCTGGATACGTGGTCAGCAAATGAGATGAGACCAATGGCGGCGATTATGAGCAATCAATTACAGACAGCAAATGAGATTCCCCACAGTGGAAAGGAGACGCAGGGCCAGAAACGCTGAACCACAGCTGGTGGTGTGCTGACACGGCTCTTCTGCCAAGCTCTGATGTGGAAATGAGATGCTGATAAATCAATAAATCAGACTGGATTCAATTCGCCCTGTTCTGCTTTGCAAATGAATGCATAGGTTTAATTTGACAGATGAGGCGTATAATGTTTGAAATGCAAATCCAGCTCTGCTCCAGAAATGTAAACTCTGTGAAACCTGTCAATGTGTGTTTAATTGTGGGTGATTTATTCCCACTTCTGACACCTGAAATTCAAAAATTCCCATAGACACACTCTTGAATTATGAGGACTTATTAAGATTTAATATTTTTTGCTGCGATTGCTTGTCTTATATTTTGACAACTTTACGTTTAGATCTCATTTTTAACAAACTGTGAAAGTCCAGATTTAGGTATTAAATAACACACCTGTTAGTAAATGATTAGCAAGAAAACTTGCTAACCCCGGCGATTGGGTGCTAGGGCAGTCGTTCATCCAGTGACCCGACGTGTTTTTGAGTTTAAAATGTTTAAATGACAGGAAACTTGAAAATATCACTTGGTAATTATGTGTTATTGAAATATTAATACCTGAACACCAACTATAAGGCATTAAAAAAAAGGAAAACATTAAAAAAAACTTAAATAAGCAATGCTAAGCCTGGTGGCCCGTCAGGCTTTTAATATATTCGGGGAAACCCTGTATAGGTAAAGATACATTTATAATAAATAGCTAAATTCAGATGAGGCTGGAGTTTCTTTTAAAAGGATTCTCTATTTTCTGTTGTTGCTACAGAGTCAGTGACTAAGATTGGCTTCCTTAGATAAGTGTAACTTTTCAGTGACTGGCACAATAAACCAACTATTTGGCATAATTGTATTAAAAAGGTCTGAATTGGAATGATCACATTGGAGTTGAATATTTGATTACGTATTATTGCCAATAAAGCATTGGGTCACCCCTTCAAATCTTTGTATTCAGGTGCTCCAACCACTTCCATAGTCTTAGGTGTATAAAATCTGGCACATGGTCATGCAGGCGCCTTCTGCAAACATCTGTGAATGAATGGATTGCTCTCAGAAGCTCGGAGAATTTCAAAGTGGTAGCAATATAAAATGCCACCTGTTCCCAATATTTGTGGTATTACACCAAAGTGGAGTCGATCTGAGAACAACCAACACCAGGCAACGTAATGGTAGATTGTACAATCACATAGCAACACAAATAGATGCTGCTTTCTGAAGACTCTATATCTACAGACTGCTGAACCACTAAAAAACCCAAGAACAGAGCACAGAGGCCAAGCTAGTGCATCAGACGTAGTGGTATAAATCACATTGATAATCAACTCTAGAGAGGTCTCAAACTGCAGTTCTCGAGTGCTTGAGTCCTGCAACTTATAGATGTGTCCCTTGTCCTACAAACTTAATTTAAACAGTGAAACTGTCTCATTAGCATGTGGTTCTAGTGAATCTAATGAGCTAATATTAGAGCCAGGCGTGCTGGAGCTAAGAGGCATGTTAAAGTCTCTCCAAATGCACTTCTGGAAGAATGGTACACCAGCCCTTGAGGACTGATGTTTGAGACCGATGGTCTACCTAGAACATCTCTAGAGAGAGGTTCTCTGGAGTGACCAATCATGTCTCTGTCTGGCAATCCAGTAGATGAGTCTGGATTTAGCAGTTGCTGGAGAAAAGGTCTTCCCTGTCTGCACTGCGTGGAGGTTGAAGTTTAATGAAGAGGGGTTTAGTGTGGGGAGTTCCAGCGAAACGAACTTGTAATTCTTCATGTTGGCCAAGCTAACTTCTTGGTAGTACTTTGGGGATGGCCGCTCCCTGTTCCAACGTGACTTTGCCCCAGTGCTTAAAGCAAAGTCAATAAGGATGAGAGAGTTTGGTGTGGAAGAACTTGGCTGGTGTGCACAGAGCAATGACCCTAAGTAGATAGAGAAGGTTCGTGATGAATTAGAGCAGAGACTGCAAGCCAGGCCTTCTCGTCCAAAATCAGTGTACTGTATGCCCTTCCAAATGCACTTCTGGAAGAACTGGATTTGGACACACTCTCAAACATGGTGGGAAGGCTTCCCAGAAGAGAAGAAGAAACAGCCATGCAGAAGCGATATTGAGTATGAATTATGAGTTGATGTGTGGGACCCAAATACAAGCAGGATGGATGCTGAATGGATGGCTTTTATCATATAATAAAGAGAAACCTACAGAAAAAATCAATGGTAAAACACAAGAACTCAAGAGCGTGGCACCTAGGACAAAGGAATGGATGTGGAACGGTGTTGGTCAGTGACTTTGGGATCCAAAACAGGTGAGACTAATAAACATCAGACAGCAGAAGACCAAAAGCACAGGTGTATCAAGAAAAACAGGAAGAAAATGGGACACAAGGAAAGACAACTTGCTAAAATAAAACAAGGCCTCTCATCTACAAAGAGAAACCATATGCATTTAAGGCCAACACCCCAAAATCCAGACTTAGGGGTCCTCTACCAGAACTGTGATAACTTGAGGATTCAGGATAATGTTTACCCTGTCCAGTCAAGTGGCTCTAATTCAAGCTCAGATCTTGTGAGGGCCTGGAAGTTTGAGGGTAATGCAGGTTGTTGTACCTGTACACTGCAAAAACACGATATCTTACCAAGTATTTTGGGTCTAGTTTCTAGTGACAATATCTTAGTTCACTTGAAAAGAAAAACAAACCTTTCAGTAAGATACGGGAAATTCTTTTAAGTCAATAAATGGTGTTTCTGCCCAGTCTGTGTTTCAGCAGAGAGACACATTTAAATTAGGCCTTCATTTAAAATGTGCCAAAAACTATGCCACAAATCATATGCACCCCACCCTCCACCCCCTACAACTCCAGCCACACTCAAGTTGGCTGTAAAACCCTGATCCATCTATCATAAAACTCTTCCAGGTGTTCGCTGCAGGGACTTTGAATTAGGGAGGATATAAATGGCCATCCCCCCACTCCCCCCTGCATGTGGTTTTAATAAAAGATGCACTTCAGGGACATGCTTGGAGGGCGATAGAGAGAAGTGGAGCTTAGCAGAAGAAACAAAAAAACAAAACAAAAGAAATGGAAAACTCTACTTTGGAAAGTGCATTTTATTTCATGCGAAGACAAATGACTCTTCACAGCTGACTGCAGCCTGGCTTTACAAGATCTGTTCATCAGTTCATCCGTGTCCTCCCTCCGTGCGAGTGACTGGAAGATCTGGGGTGCGAATGCAAGCCTGGAAGGGAAAACGAGCTGGGTAATGTGCCCTGGCTTGTTGCATGCAGCCTCTTTGACCTGTTTATGTCAAATCAGCAAAGTTGGGAGTCATGGGCTGGGCCTGCGCAGTCTGCACGCTGCGGGTTGGCGTGCACGTGCTTATTAACAACATATGGCAGTTTGTCAGTGTCAGTGAGAGTCTATGGTGAAACGAGTGAACAGTGAAGGGAGACTGACTTCAAAATGATGAATCAGATAAGATGTGGGGCAAGTAAAAAAAAAAAAAAAGAAGGAGCGAATATTCGCACTCCCTTTGCTTTTTTTTTTTTTTTACATTTTGTTAGATTACAAGAATTTATTTGTAAAGAATTAGCATCATGATTGTGCCAAACACTAAGCAAGACTGCGTACGGTTTGTTTTAAAGATTTCTGGGACTCACAGCAAACAGTTGCACAGCCAACAGATTGTCCAACCTGAGCTGTAGCCACTTGGTGAGGCGCCATACTCCTCAACTCCTTAACCTCTTGGATGATGGATTAAACTGTGAGATGTTCACATTTTGGTATATTGTTCTGTAGACTAACTCTGGGGAGGAAGTTAGCCAAAAGTAGCAATTTACTGAATACATTTGCATGTCACACTTTTCAGATTTTATTGGCAAATTATTATTAATTAACAATTTTATTTCACTTTGTGCAACTCTTTGATGGTTTATTAGATAAAATAAGCTGCAACAATATATGTATGGATCCCTGAAGAAGAAGAACTGAAACTTTATTTGGGAGGACGTTCAAGGTTGAGTTCAGAAAATAAGCCCCCATTTTTTCTGTGAAATTTGAATTATATCTAAATCACTGCATTTGGATTTTGTTTCGAAATGCTTATCAGGATTTGTACTTGATGTGTTTTAAAATACAAATAACCTTTAGCTACTCACTTTATCCAGAGACAACAGTAGAGTTGTCAGCATCAATATTTATTGGATCTTCTCGCCTTTATGCTACTGTCATTTAAAAAAAAAAAAAATTTTTTTTGGTTGTTTGATTTGTTGTTGTTTTGTTTCTTTTTGCCCAGACTTGTGTTCAGGTTTATTTTTATATGCTACCTAACCAGCAGGACCTCTTAAGTGTACCTGTTGATATTTTTCCTTAAGACGTAGATGGTGAAGATTTGCTGGAAATTCAGACTCTCCTCATGTAGAGTTGAGTAATTGCAGTCCTCAAGGGCAAGCTCATGTAGTATTTAACAGTATTTGACAGTTGTTAACCATGCTAATTGCTAACATTAAATGCTTATAGCAATCTTTTTTTCTAACGTCTTTCTTTGAGTTAAATTAGCAAAACTCTGTTCAGCAGCAACTCATGTCAGATGTTAATTGTTAGAGATTTTTTGGTATCATTTTGTTATTACTTTAGTTCATATTCAGTCTAATGTTAATCAATAGTTAATCAATATCCAGCCTATAGATTATTAAAGTGTTCTCTTCCTTCTGTGTGTATAAACTGACCTGGACGCCCCGTCTGCTTGTTTGTCTTCATGTGAAAGTTAAATGTGTATTTCCCAGACCTTAAATTATGTTTCCACAGGTGCCTCCTTATCAACCGGAATACTCCCTACCTTAGAAACTGCCTGTGTGCAGTAATATTTTGTCTCTGCTGTCTTTCTTCCCTATCCTCCCTCTTGTTGTTTGATAATAAAAGACAAGCTGTAACCAAAGGTCTTTAGAACGCTCAGTGAACGGCTTGGAGGAGCAGTTTGCTGAGTCTTCTCCTTTTGCAAAAGCTTGGTCAGAAAACTCATATACGTCGTCTGTGGTTCTTTTATGTAGGTTCGAGAAAAATACCTATCATTAATGATTTTCTAATTTACATAATTAATGACCACTCGTGGCAGAAAGGCTAGAAAATATTTTTTTTTTCAGCTAAAATCAATATTGTGAAATCAAACCTGAATTAAATCCAATGGAAATCTTTCAAAACTCTCAGTTTTGAATGTCCATTTTTACTTATTTCTCGTCATAACAGATCAGACAAACTAAAATATGGAAGACTGACATTTTTTAAACCTAATATTTGTTGATTCTTATATACAATTAGGCGATGTTGCAAAAATGTCAAATCAAGACCTTTTCCAGCAAATTCCTTATGAGTTTCTAGACAGTTTTCTATAAAAACAAACATTAAAGACCAGACTTATTGTGCCAGAGAACATATCTGTAAAAAATGTTATAAGCTTGTGACTTGAAGTACATTTAGACTTTTTTTGTCTAACACAGTAAGAGGCATTTTTAAGTACATCTTAGACAACAAAAACAACAAAGCCACATTTTGTGATCACCGAATGCCAGTGGCTTTTCCACAAGCCTCCCCCCCCCGCCACCACCACCACAAAGCCGCCTCATTCTGTCGCAGCCTCAAATTCCTGTTTTCAGGACAATGCATGTAATCCTTGACTTTCCTTCTTTCTTTCTTTTGCATGCTTTCCTTTTAAAAGCAGCCTCCGGCATTCCAGATATCTCACCTGCTTTCCGCTGTGGCTATGATGAGGCAGCGAGCTCCTGCTGAGGCTCTGGATGGCGTTCTTCCTGACTTTGGCTGCTGCTCAGGACTTCACCGCATGCTATTGTTCCTGACAGCGGGAAAGAGGCAAAGGCATGTTCACACAAACAAGGACAAAATCCCACCGCGACACAGATACTTGGAAAAATACATTTTATTACTAGAAGCAGAAACAAAAAAAAAAAAAAAAAAAAAAAATTTTCAAGAACAGTTACTAATTACATCAAATTATAATCTTTACTCAAGGTGTTTTCACACCTACTAGTCTGGTGGACTCAGTTTGACTTGGAAGCCAGATTGCAACATTTGTTACTTTTTCAACTGGTACAGTTCGCTTTCACACTGCAATGTGTCAAATGAGCCAAGCTAATTGAAAAACCTGTTCACCTCTTTGTCTCTGGTGGCTCTGCACCAAGAACCACTGAATCAAACACAGCAGAAGAAGAAGACATGAGCGCAACTTCCTTCTTCACAAGATGTAAAACAAAACGAAGCAGCGTCAGATTTTAGCGCTTGTAGGATTTCTCTTTTGTAGTTGGTAAAAGACAATGAGCCATTTCTCCCGTTGGCGTTAAACTCTTGTGTTTGTTTTGAATGTATTTGTGCATTTCCTGCTTTTGGAGCAGTCTCTGATCTGCTTGGCATTCACATAAGCATTCGAACCGCACCAGAGTTCACTTCAGCCGAACCGAGACCTAGCGATTTAGGCAGTCCAGAGTTTGCGTTTTTGTTCCACATCAGCGTTCGATTGTGTGTTCACACACCTCCCCAAATGTACCGGACTTTTTAGGCAAATGAACAAGAGTTTGATTAAAGCGGACCAAACAGGGTTGGTGTGAATGCACCCCAGGTCTCCTCACATGATCTTGTCAAGATATCAGTGACTTTGCTGTTTTAATCCCCATTTCTTTACCATGTTGTTTTACACTACTTTGGCTGTGGCCCACATACATACAACCAAGTCAAAAAGCTTTTATGTAAATTGGTACTTGGCTAAGTTGAAACAGCTGAACCGCAAATCACTGAAGGACAAGACTACGACTCTATCCAGGCTGTTAATGTTCTACTTGCACCTCCTTTGTCTAGTTCAGGGACATCTCAAGGAGCTCATGGTCCGCTGCCCAACAAGCTTTTTAAAATCATTCCATTTTGTATTGTTTGGAAATACAGTATACATGGACAGACCACCTGCTTGTCCACAGTCATTCATCAGCCTGCCTCAGCATCAGAGTTTCCTAAAAACAGTCCATTTCGTGTGCTGCCTCGGAGTCGCAGGCTGACAGATTTGTTAGGTCAAGGTGTACTATGTAAGCAAATGTAAAGAGATGACTTTTCTGGTTTCCATTTATTCATGTCATCAATATAAGATTTCTAGGGTGGACTGTAATAGGTTTGTTGCCTTCCAGTTTGGAGATTCGCTGGTTCAGATCTCACCTGGGACTTTTCAGTGCAGAGTTGGCCTGCTCTCTCAGCGTATGCATGTGTTTCCTATAAGTCGTCTGGTTTCCCTTCAGGTTTCACTTGGCGGGTTCAATTCGCCCTTAATTTTTGTGCGTCTCTGTTGTCCTCTTAATGGACTCTACCCTCATTGTTGATGGGTGAGATAGGCTCTTTGTCAACGCTTAGTCATATATTTATTGAGTCTTTCTTACTTTCCTTACAAGATGCTGTCATATCTCTGTGACCTGTCGTAGTTCTGAGTAAGAGTGGGATGACTAAATGTTGCTGGGTTCACAAAACGAAACATTTTCTTAAATAGAAGTTTCACAGAGAGCTTGTATTTTAAAGAAACTGTAATCTGAATGTTTTAGTCTTGATTTGAGTGGTCAATGTTCTGTGTTTTTGTTTGTTTAATCCTAAGGCGTCGATAAGGCTTTTAAAAAAAAAATAAAAACCTTTAAAAATGCTTAGTTTGAATGTTTCCACAAATTGAATACACGTTTCACGCATCCTGAACTAAGTTTATAATTATTTCTGTTCTTTGTTAGTTTGCTTTCACTGAAAATTTGAGATTTTGGCCAAAATGTGCACAAATGGGTAGAATAATAATAATAAGAAAAGTATACATGAGTAAGCCTGTCACGAAAACAAATTTTGCTGGACGATTAATTG